CGTGCGAAGCGGCTGACCCTGGATCGGAATCTGGATCTGGACACAAGGAGCGCGGCGGAGAGCACCGAAGCGTCCGCCCACCAAGCGACCCAGGCTGCGGCCCCCGTGCAGGGGGGATCTTTCAGCCCCCAGGCACTGGGGAGCTGCCTGGAAAGCAAAGGCCCTCTCGGAAGACGGCGGGGCTCCTCAGAGGACCTCGCGCCTTCTGAAAGGCTCCTGCAGGCTTCCAGAACTTCTCAGAAGCCCGAGGGGCTCCCAAGCCTGCTGGGAAGGCCCGCCCCTTCTCACTTCCCCCGCTGGCTCGCCGCCGATCCAGGCACCGCGCCCCGGAGCGCGCATCGACTTTGAAAGGCGGGACCCCCGGCGGGCCACTGAACATCCGATGCAGCCAGTCGTGGGTTTTGCTGCCTGTCCGCTACGGTGGAGGCCAGTCCACAGGAAACCTCCCACGAGAAACCCAACCCTGAGACCACAGGGCGTCCCTTGATTCTTGGTGTGGGAACGCCACGCTTTCCATAGCGAGACCATCTGGAGCCCGAGGAACCAAGGGCACCCTGGAGGCAAGCAGGGTTTTTCTTGGCATGGGCCTCCACTGTAAATCTGGCCCGCTGTCCGACGACGAGGAGCAGGGGGGGAGGGAGCACCTCGCGCGGGCCGACTCGCTGCCGGGCTGGGCGGGCTTCTCGGCTTGCCACAACTGCCTGCGAACGGTTTGCCTTGCACAGCGGATAGATCGGTCAGCACGTTTCTCGCGGCGGCGCGCGGATATCGAGTCCTCGGCGCAGGCCTCCCGGACCGCCCGCGAGGCTTCGACGGCAGGGAGGCAGGGTCGTGATCGGGGGCATGCCGTGCCGGCGTGCAGGTGGGCTGCGCGCTCTGACGGCAGAACGGACTGGCACGCGGGTACGCCTGTCGCCGAGGGGTGCAGGACGGGCCCCGAGCGGCGAGCTAGTCTCGAAGACTGTCCGATGCCAGCGCGGCAAGCCCATGGCTGGCAGAGGGTCTTGAGCCCGGGGCTGCCGGGGCCTCCCAGCGGCAGGCGGAGCGCCCTCGGGTGCAACGGACACAGAGGACGACCAGGACACTGCAGCAGGGCAGCAAAAGCGAGGGGAGGCAACGCGACACGCCCCCAGCTCCAGCTCAGCTGGTGTACGCCTGGCGAGCGCGCGCCTGGCTGACGCGAACATGGCCAGCCCCCAAAGCCACAGATCAGCACCAGAGCGCGGGCCACCGTGCTGGCATGAGATGCGTCATGCCGCAATGAATTGCTGCTTCACAGGGTGGTGGATCAAGTCGCCCTTGGCATCCGAATCCTGACCGAACCGATCTGGATCTCAAGCTCGAGCTGCCTGTACGTATAGCTGGCCCAGAACTGGTTGCAGTCGACACGTATGGAACGCCCAATCAGCTCGAGCTCAAGATCCGAATCAGTTCCGAAACTGGACGAGACGACACGGGGCGCAGGACGCATGGCCGCGCCACGGGAGGTGCCAGGGGCGCACTAGGGGATGCGCCAAGGGACGTGTCGGGGGACGTGGCCAGGGACGCGCCACCGAACGGGCAGGGAAAGCGCCAGGGGACAAGCCAAAGAACGCGACAGAGGACGAGCCAGGGGACGCACCGAAGTGGGAGGGGCATACGCCGTCCCGCTCTGGGGCGTGAGGACACACATGTCTTCACATGTCTAGGCCACCCAGGGACGGATGTGGTCGTGCAAACGCGAGATTCAGCTCAAGACAACCAGGTTAGCTACCCCTGGATGGCCTGAACACGTGAAAACAAATGGTCCCAGCAAGGGGAAACATGTTAAAACCCCCCTGAATGGCCTGGACGCGTTAATAAACATGGTTCCAGCCCAGGGCAACAACGTTCGACCCGTATCTGGGTGGGCTGGACACGTGAAAACACAAGGCTCCAGCCTGGCGCCACCATGTCAGATACCCCCCTGGGTGGCCTGGACACGTGGTAACGTGGTTCCAGCCTGGTGCCACCATGATAGATAACTTCCTGGGTGGCCTGGACACCTGAACACACATGGTACCAGCGAGGGGCACGAGGCAACCATCTTAGATACACCCCACCCCCCCTGGGTTGCCTGGACATGTAAAAAGCTCCAGCTCGGCACCACCATGTTAGATACCCCCTGTGGGTGGCCGGGACACGTAAAGGCACACAGCTCCAGCTCGGAGCCACCATGTCATGCAAGTCGTTCCAACTCGCAGAAAACACGTTATACACCTCTCTGGGTGGTCTGAACATGTGAAAACACGTGGTTCCAGCCCAGGACCCCGTGTTAGATACCCGAAAGGAAATCTGGAAAATCACCCGCCGCTCAAACTGCGCCATGTTTTTTACACCTCGGGCCTCGCTTTACTCATGTTGTCTGGCTCGTGAGCCCCCCACGCTGGGGGCGCCCAAACAACCACGTGTTAGATATCCCCCCGTGGATGGCCCGCACCATTAAGAACACGGCTCGGGGCAACCATGCTCGATACCCCTCTGGGTGGCCTGGACACGTTGAACACACATGCTCCCAGCTCGTGGCCACCATGTTCGATACCCCACTGGGTGGCCTGCACATGTAAAAACACATGGTTCGAGCTCGTGACCACCATCTTAGATACCCCCCTGGGTGGCCTGGACACGTGGAAGCACATCCCCAGACCTAAGGCCTTTCTTCTTGGACTCAAAAATATGAAAAAAAAAATGAACAAATTGGATATTTTGAAAGGTGTGCGACAGTTTCGTGATCCTATCTCTGTGTTGCGCGGATCAAATTTCCCGTGTGTGAAAACCCATGGATTTATATCTATGCTTCTAACTAACATCCTGGACCCAGGGGATCTGGGATCCCGGGGTCACTGTACGTGAAGCCTCATGCGATCTAGGGAACTGCGAATGTGCAGACCAAAGATATGACTCTACGGGGGAAGGGGGGCCTTCGCAGGACGGAGAGGGGAAGGAGGAGGGAGGAGGCACGAGGGGGGGGGAGGACGGGAGGAGGGACGGGAGGAGGGAAGAGAGAGGAGGAACAATCAGGGAGGAGGCGGGGAGGGAGAAAGAAAGGGGAGGAGAAGGAGGAGGAGGAGGAGGACAAGGAGGACAAGGAGGAGGAGGAGGAAGGAGCGATGCGGAAGGAGAAAAGAGGAAGGAGGAGGAGGTGGGGGGAGGAGGGAGGAGGTGGGAGGAGGAGAGAGGGATGACGGGGAGCATGAAGACACACAAGCAAAGCGTCAAGATCGGAAGTTCGAGCACCACAGCGGGCCTGGCGACCTCCCTCAACTCCTCCCATAACATGTGGTTGCTCGAGCGCCACAACGTTCCTGGCCGTCTCCCGAAAATACTCCCGTAACATAAAGTTGCTCGAGCGCAACAGCGGGCCCGGCCAACTCCAGCATCCCCTCCCATACCATATGGCACGCCCAAAGCCGATGAGAGCGCTACAGGTATCCGCTCACCTGAACGGCACGTCGCTTCCGACATTTGGGGCTCGAAAGGGAAATCTTTCGGCCCGCATAAATAGATTCCCCCTCTGGGCGACCTGGACACGTGAAAACGAGTACTTCGCCCGAGACATCCTCTGAAGTCTAGCCCCCGGGAGCGGAGCACCCTGTAGAACAAAACGAGCGTTTCGCTCGAGACATCCTCAACAAATTCTTCAAAACAAGCATGTGTTTCATCGATCGAAATTTCAAGACCAGCGAATCGCTCGGGACATTCTCACATTTCAATTCCGCCAGCCATCTACGAACTCGTTATGTATCGCAAAATAATTCCGCCAGCCCTCGTCGAACTTGGCAACGGGAAACAGGTTTACCATCAACACATCCTGGGCCCACTCCCTTTCCAAGAAAGAACACGGAGGGGGATCGACAACTACTATTCTGACATGAAAATTCAACAAAGCTGGCCGCATGTGTCAAACCTCTGGGCGCGTGACCAACGCATGGACTTTCACGGCTGAGAGGTGAGTGACAGACATGCTGAAGTTTCACGCTCTTCAGTCGGTTCTCTCTCGGCCACATCCTGGACACCAAGAGATACCAAGCGGCATGTAGTTGCAAGTGCGGACTAGTTACAACGCTTCCCTTATGGCACTTTGCTGGTGGCTCGAGCATACCACGGCGCGCTGCACAGACAGTTCGAGTCAAGACTGGCCAACCGTCGAAACGGGCGTTCCAGACGGCTTCACCGTAGTGGAAATATGGCCTGCGCGGTAAGCCCTGAAGTGAATTGTGCCAGCGAATGCAAAGAGCAGCCGATATGGACAAAATGATTCAAGGCAACGGCAAAACATGTGCGGATAGAAAGCGCACACGCGTTCCAAACACACACACACACACACACACACACACACACACACACACACACTTTTGTTGCGTCGGCGGCTGGGCAGAGGACGTCTGCTCCGGCGGATAGCCACACACACACACACACACACTTGCTGCGCAAACACCCGCCTCCCTGCAACACACGCACTCGCGAAAGCGCAATCGAGTCGCCCCGCACATCGAAAGCGAACATTGCACATCACAGCGTCCACCACGAACACCATGGCATGGCATGGACGGCCCTTGCACGGCCCTCTGGGACCGTCGGCGTGTGAGAGCCTGCGCGGATTGTCTGCGTCGTCTGCACAACCACAACGGGATGATCTCGTCAAATCACGGATTCGAACCGAGGCAGCGGCGGCACGACATCAAAGCAACCGCCTGCCCACTGCATAAGCAACTACACTATCCCCAAACGCTGCAGAGCTATGAACATTATGAAACTCCCATCGACACCCAATTACAACTCTCCCATCAACGTGTCGGGTCTCAAGCTTCCCGCACAATAGGAGACAAGATTGGTGGAGCGCATGCAGCATTGGAACTGCACCTAAACCTACCTCGTAAGCCCACCAACACACGCGAGCACTACGCACGGCACCACTGAGCTGTCTTCTGTAGCCAACCTCATGCAGCAATGACTGAAGTTGATGCCCTGGAAGTGGCAGCCTTCGCAACTCCTCGCCGCAAACTTTCGCTTCCGCGGCTGCCATGCTGCGCCAGCGGGGCGACGGCACCAACGCCAAAAGGCTGGTGGCACGGAGCGGTGCGACGGGCCAAGCACAAGGAATCGCTCGAGAGCTCCGCCGCCGCCACCCTCACAAGCACTTCAGCCACAATCACTGCCGACCAACCCTCAACCAGGGCGGTGATCGAAGCAAGGAGGGGGTGGGCGGGTGGGGTGGTCGACGGGTGGTGGATGGCGGCTGCTTGGTGGTTCGGTGGGCGAGTGGTGGGTCGGTGGTGGGTCGGTGGTGGGCGGTGAGTGGTGGGTGGTGGGCGGTGGTTGATGGATGGTGGGTGGTGAGCGGGCGGCAGGCAGCCCCAGCGTCGGCTCGATAGATCGAGTCGGATCGGCGCGGGCGTCGCAGCGGCAGGCATCGCCTGAAAGCCCGCTGCGCCAATCGAATCCGCAGGGATCGACGAATCCGAGCTGGATCGAAGCAGAGATCGGATCGCGCGAAGCGGGACCGGAGTCGAAATCGGAAGGCCGGATGGGACGAGGAAGAAGGAACAGGAGGCGATTGGCCCGACTTTCATCGTCGCCCGTCGTCGTGCGTCGCCGAGCACACGCTTTCGTCGCACGTCGTCATACACGTCGTCGCGCAAGTCCGCTTCCCCCTCGCGGCACACGTCGGCGCACGCGTCGTCGGACGTCGTCGACGTCGGTCGTCGTCGGCAGCGGGCCCCTTGTACGTAGCCCCTGCGGGACCCCGGGGGAGCCCAGGACGCCAAACGGAGGCCCCTGGAGGCTCCTGGGAGCCCTCGTCGTTGTCGCCACGCAGGAGAAGCTGGTCCAGACAAGCGCCGAGCATAGGCAAAGGCTGCAGAAGCCACAGCCAGGGCAAGAGACTTCACGGAACGGCACTCCAGAGGGTTCGGGCTGGCGATCGGGGCCCAGCCTGGGCTTACGGTGTGCCAGCCCACTTTGGCCTTGATCACCAGAAAGAGCTTCGAGCGCCGAGCAGGTATCGAAACTGGCGTGCTTTCACGCGTCGGGCCCTGGGAGGCGACACTCGCTCGACGCTTCGCCAGCGCGTCGGGCGGGCAGACACTGGGTGCTCGAAATTATTTCTGGAACGTGGTCCTTCAAGAATGACGAGAGCAGCACAAGCCTGGGCCTTCCTCTCACTCCCTCTGGAGCCCCTCGGGGCCCCGGCCCGCGAGGCCTCTCGAAGCCTCCACTCGGCCCCCGAGCTGTGGCCCCAGGAGGGCCCCCCTCGGCCCCCAGACGGCCCAGGGCGCGACGGGACACCCTCCGAGGGCCCCGCGACGAGGCCCGAAGCGCTCCTGGAGCATCGACGGCCCCACGAGGGCCCCTCGATGGCCCAGGAGCCCAGATGGTCCACATCGCCCAGGAGGCGGCCCATGGCCGGGCGACGGGCGCGCTGCAGGGCGCGCTCGCCCTCGGAGAGGACGAGGACACACAGGACGCCCGCTTCACGATTCAGTGCACATGCAGACAGGGGAAAAGGCAGGGAAGGCAAGGAGGAAACAGGGACCTCTCGACGCCCCAGGGTCACCGCCGTCGTCGTCGTCGTCGTCGTCGTCGTCGTCGTCGTCGTCGTCGTCGTCGTCGTCGTCGTCATCGTCGTCGTCGTCGTCGTCGTCGTCGTCGTCGTCGTCGTCCGTCTCGTCGGCCTCCGTCGTCGTCACCTGTGGCGCAGAGCGGCGGAGGCCACGATCCTGTGGATGGGGTGTCAAAACGTGGACCTCCCCTCAGCTCGGGAACTCCTTCGGAGGCCACGATCCTCGTAAGGGGTGCCAAACCTCTCCAAAGTCACGCCTGGGAGACGCGGCGCGGCCCGGGAGATTTGGCAACGATTCCTCAGGAACGATCCCAGGGACCAGGAGGAGGAGGAGGAGGAGGAGGAGGAGGAGGAGGAGGAGTTGCATGGAGGAGTCCCAAGAGGCCGAATGGGGCCTCAGGACACGCCCAGCCCGTGCAGGAGGGCACGGTGGCGGATTTCACGGAGGTCAACATCTCGGGCGTGTGGACGCGCCACCGAGCGTCGGGCCTCGATTGGACCGTGGACTCCATCGGGCCAGGCCACGCCAAGTGGAGCACCTTTCACAGCATACATGTGAGGGTTCGGGGAAGGAGAAGGTACCGATACCGCCACCCCACCGCCGCTGTGGCCCTCCTGGGCCTCCTGAAGTTCCCTCAGGTCCCTCGCTGCCACGGCCGGATTTGCCTTGAGATTCTGGCCAGAACGCACCCCAGGAGAGGTCCGTGGGGGTAGCGGTATCGGTACTTTTTTCGTCTCCCACAGGTGGTCCGCGGGCACACCTTGGCTGGCACGAGGTACTTGAATGTCTTCGTGCGGGGACTTGACAAGGCCAAGTTTGCAATCGGGGGCCTCCTCGGAGAGGACGACCACACCGCTTCGAGCACGCGCAGTATACGAGCGAGGGAGGTGCTTGTAGAACAGCGCGATGTTGGTCAGAGCACACTTGGAGGCCAGGGTCTTCGCTTCAGCGTGAGCAGGTGAGTTCGGGTTGCCGCGTTAGTTCTGGCAAGTCACCTAACCAGGAGTGCTTTGCGTGCGCGGCTGCCGGGGACAGTCCAAACAGAACACCTTAACCTGGCGAAGGCCCAACGATACGAGAGCCCGAATGGGACTCCGAAGTCCACCGCCGTGGCCTTCCACATCGAATCGGCGTGCCCTCGGGTCCTTTACCTAAGCCTTTGACCCTCAGCCCCCACTCCCGAGAGTTTGTTTTGGGGGCCTGGATTACAGCTTCAACCAGAAGGTCCAAGAGGGACCCGAGTCGCCGACAGATCGCCCCAGGACGCCAAGAGTGCTTCAAGACCGCCCAGGAGGCCTTCCATGAGGCCCAAGAGGCGTCACCAGAGGGCCCCGGGAGGCAGACTATGTTGATCATCTTGCTCTTTCGGTACGCCACTAAATCTGCGCCAGATTCCTCTCGCTTCGCGAGGTGCACGTCCGGATTGCGGAGAGCGCGGGCGTTTGGATCGTTTTGGAAGATGTGCGTCGTTTCTCGCGGGCATCGATTTCAAGAGACTTGGCTGATTTTGGGGAGCGCCCCCAAATCATCGCGCGCGCTTCGCGCGCGCAATGGTCCTAGCTAGGCTTGATAGGCTAACTCATGCAATCTCATTTTGGTCGCTTCTTGCGTCCAGGGACTCCCTTGGAGGCCCTGCGCAAGCCTCGGAATCGTATAGGAGGGGAAGTGCGGAAACGCAGAATTTTCCTTCGGTATTCAACGGTTCTTTTTGGGGAGGTGACGGGGGTCTGAATAGTGGTCTGTTGTGCAGGAGTAGACCCGGGGCCAAACTTGGAGAAAAAAAAAAATGTGGGATTTCCATGTTTTTCCAGTTCCTCGGCGCTGTTCGGCGCTATTTGTTGTTTGTGCCTCGTGGGTTTTGTTAGCCGGGCCCCTCAGGGGTGTGGGAGTTTCCGGAACCCCTGGGGGTTTTGGAGGCCTCTTGGAGGCTTGGAGAGCCGTCGGAAGTGCGTCTCGGGCTGCGCGGGAGCGTGTTGGGCCGTTCTTTACGCTCAGGGGGCTCCTTGTGTTCGTCTTCGGCTGTCCTTGTCTTGGGGGACCCCCGAGAAGCTGGGAGGCACGGTGCCGGCCAGATGTCAGGGGATGTGTGAGATCTCCATTGTTTGTTATTCGTTGTCGTCGTCCCACCCGCCACTGGCCGCGACCCACCCGCGACCCACCTGCGACCCACCTGCGACTCACCCGCGAGCCACCCCGCGACCCACCCCGCGACCCACCCCGCGACCCACCAGCGACCCACCTGCGACTCACCCGCGACCCACCCGCGACCCACGCGGGACTCACCCGCGACCCACCCGAGACATCCGCGACCCACCCGCGACCAACCCGCGACCCACCCGCGATCTACCCACTTGTTTTAACGAAAAGATTGTCGCCTGCGGGGAGCTCGTTGCATAATGATCCGCTTAAGAATCGGCGCCTGCGGCGAGCTTCTCCAGAGCCTCGCAGATTGCCGACGACCCCATCGCCCCTCACTCTTCTCCGCAACAGCGGGGTGCTATATGCATATAAGTGTAAATACATACATACACACATACATACATACATACATACATACATACATACATACATACATACATGCATGCATGCATGCATGCATGCATGCATGCATGCATACATACATACATACATACATACATACAGACAGACAGACAGACAGACAGACAGACAGACAGACAGACAGACAGACAGACAGACAGACATACATACATACATACATACATACACACATACATACATCCATGCATGCATGCATACATACATACGTATATAATATACCTATACGACCACCCTTCGGGTGATAAGGAGAATGTGGGGGGGAGAAGGGGGGGAACCAGCATCTGACTCAATCGACCTGACTATCGATCTCACTTAACGACACCACGGGACACCACGGGACACTTGTCGATCCCACTATCGATCTCACTATCGATCTCACTCAACGGGACACCACGGGCCACCACGGGACACCACGGGACACCGCAGGGCACTTCTCGACCTCATTATCGGTCTCACTATCGATCTCACTATCGATATCACTCAAGGGGACACCATAGGACACCACGGGACACCTCGGGACACCACATCGATCTCACTATCGATCTCGCTATCGATCTCACTCAACGGGACACCACGGGACACCTGTCGATCTCACTATCGATCTCACTATCAATCTCACTTTTTGGGACACCACGGAACACTTCGGGGCACCACATCGATCTCAGTATCGATCTCACTTTCGATCTCACCATCGATTCAATAGGCTTACGGCACATCCGCCGACCCCTATAGAAACTATTGCGCCTCCAGGACTGCATTTCACGAGGCTTGTCCGAATCATGACACGGCGCTCGACATCGTTCTTGTTGCTTCGTTGTTTTTGTCGTACCTCATGATGCTCTTTTGTAGCCTTTTGGTGGTATCTTGGCGTGTCTGCAGACCATATCCGGCCGCCTCGAGGCAT